GGGGCCATGGGCCGCGGGGAGCCGGTCGGTTCCCGGCTGCGGGCCGGGTTCATCGTCCGACCGGACCCGGACCTCCGTGGTCGCCGGGCTGAAGAAGAAGCTGAAAGATCAGATGGACGCGTTTGGGGATCTCCGGCGGCGCGTGGCGGCGGATCACCGTGAGGTGGTGGCGCGAAGGTATGATAAAATAAAACTCTCCTGCGTCTCCTAACTTAAATCCATTGCAAGACAGCAACTTTAATCTGCAAAAATTGAAATTGATGCGCTTCTGTTCAAATATAGCTTTGATAAACTCAGAACTCTCACGCATCTTAACAGATACTACGCAGTAACAGGGGAGAAAGCGGATGAAGAGACAATCGACGCAATGGCGGCGGCAGAAGGACGAGGGGAAGGGATATTGCGGGCTGCGATCGAAGGCAGAGGGGCGGTGGAGGCGGCGGTGGCGGAGATGAGGGAGAGGAGAGGAGCGGTGGAGGAGATTGAGAGGAGCTTGATGGAGCTGCACCAGGTGTTTCTGGACATGGCGGTGATGGTGGAGACGCAGGGCCATCAGCTTGATGATATAGAGAGTCAGGTTGGGAGAGCAAGCTCTTTCGTTGACCATGGAGTCAAACAGCTTCATCAGGCTAGAAGGCATCAGCTAAGTACGAGGAAGTGGACTTGCATTGCGCTCCTAATTTTGATTATAATTGTGCTCATTATTGTGCTTCCGATTGTGCTGAAGAAATGAGGGAGGGGGGAGGAAATTTTTAGGGTTTTGGTATGAAGTTTATAATTAGGGATTTGTTTTTGGTTTGATTTATTTGAGGGGGAGAAAAGAGTGTTTTGTATGCATCACCGTTTGTGTATGTGTTATATATAAATAAGATGTCTTGTTTGGATTATGATTTTTGACAAGGATGAACCAACATTTTTATTTAGGGATGGGAAAAATCAATGAATGTCTTATTTTTTTAAAAGTAATATGAGAAAAATATTAAAATTTAGTATTTATATAAAAAATTATATTTTTAGTTATATTTTATATTTATATTAAAATAAATTGAGTGATTGTAAAGGCATTATAATAATTTTTTTTTCAAATATTAAATGAGAGAATTACAATCAATTCAAATATTACTCTCATTTATCATTGACTTACCAATATGTATATAGATGTTTTAGGAATAATTTAATTTTTAATTCAAAAAGTATATATATACTATTAAAATTAATATTTTTTTTTTATATAAGGGATAAATTTTACATGTTCGATCTTGATTTGTTTGTGGACTCACGCCTCAAGAAAAAAAGTTGTGAATGAAGGAGAGTGAGCAAGATGAGAGGGGATTCACTATTTCTCTTAGAAGATAAAAATTGCATGTTGTCCATTCTTTAGGGATCAATCTTTTTATATATAAATTCTCCTTATAAAGGGTTTTCTCATATGATATAAAATGGATACTAAAAACACTGATCCCGAAAGATCTCTGATTTAGAAATTCTTATCTTCATCTAGCATTGACACTATAATTCATATAGTTATCTCTGACAATATCATATCTAAACCTATATTTCTTATAATTCTTATCAGATTACATCCTTGTTGGCCCAGTTAGCCTTTGAAATAATCTAGCATGGAGTAGTTTGGATTCAAGGGAAGTTATTTGTTAGAAAAGTTCCATTTAGACAAGAGATCAACAAGTGGATTTATGTGGCATGAGGCATATTTAATCTCGAGATTAAAACTTCTATATCTCTGCCTTGACCTTTGTGAGGTAGTTCGCCATAATCTTTTCTCTGGACTTATATTAACTGTTTACTTAGTTGACTATCAATTGTAAGTCAGTGCACACTAGTAAATGCTTTGCCCTTATTTTTCAGGAGAAGGAGAATCTTAGTCTCACGATCAGGGCTTCATACTGGACATGATGATTAGGGATGACTCAACTTTTATAGTGATAAAAGGAGAAACTGACTAGACCTTTGAGTCTAGAGCCTCTACAAGTAGATTCTCCACAGACCTAGAGTGTCTACAATGACTCTTATGGAGTTATTGTTGCTCTTAATCTTTAGATTCAGAAAAATTAGCGAGAAAATTTGCTACTACCCAGGCCTTGATTATCATTTATGGTGTGTAAAAGATTTCGAATTTATTGATATTGACATCCTAGTTTAGTAGACAACCTTAATGCTGCCATTTATCAAGTATTGAATTCATGGGATGGTCCATTATGTCTTGTATAGCATGTTTCTGGAAATACGAGCAAAGTTTCTATGCTTAAATATTCATAATACAGTGCCTGAGTTCAACATCCCTTAAGATATTGCTGACACAATACACCAAAAAAAGCTTTCCATAGTTCTCTAAAACATGTACTAAATTGATTGCTTCTGCTCCAACTATGAGATATAGCAGTAGGTTGTTGATGAACTTTGGACTCTACAATAATGATGGGGATAACAAAAAGTTCTTCCAGTAAAGGAAGCTTCTTCACATTTATCTATTCAAGTAAGGCATTATGCTCTTTCTCATATCCTTGAAGAAAGCAACATACTTATCATCATATATGAAAATGAAGAGACTTAAACCCATAATTCATCTACTTAATTTCTATAGTTTTTTTACGTACAAGGTGATGACATGTGTAGAAGTTATTTTATTTTCTTTGGGGTTAGCATTGATACCTTTTGAAGAAGAAGATAAGCCTAAAAAATTTCCTAGTCTCACATCAAATTATATTTTATTAAAATTTTGAAAGTGTCTTTAAGGTTTTCTATATATTATTATTGTGATTTTCTTTTAACCAAGACATCAATGACACGAACATTAAGATTTTTTATTTCTTTTGTCTATTGAAAATTTTACCTATCATGTGCTTGTAAGTGTTACCAATTTTCTTTAGCACAAAGGGTATTACTCTGTAGCAGTAAACTCCATCTTTAGTAATGAATATGATATTCTTGGTATCAAATGGACACCTCTTTAATTTAATGGTAGCTAGGAAAAGCATCCAAAAACTCATGACTGAACAATGGACTGCAAAGTCAATGAGTGCATCAATTCACCTTAACGGGCGCATGCCAAATTTAAGTTCATGAAGTCGATGCACATTCACCATTCACCACTCGAATTCATCATCACCACCCATGCACGATCCAGCCTGAACATTGCTCCTCCTTGATATAACTAAGTTATGGGAGAGTAATGACAATTAATTGTATCTCGTGATTTTTCAGTCGAGCCTTTGGGATCAACGTTCAACTTATGATAGTCGACATCAATGTCTTACCTCCTAACATTTGTTCTACTGACCAAGTAAACACCTCTCTATAATACTAAATGACTGATACTTGGCAGCTCGTACTCAGCTACTTATATCTGTCAACTCGTCTGCTCGATGGGACAGCCGAACAAGAGACCTACGCGGTCTAGTCAATACACTATTCAATTCTTAATCTGAACAATTATTTTTTTGGAAATATATTCTGAAACATTGTGGCGTGCATTGTTTTTGGAAGAGTTGGCAGCCGGTGGCAGCCGTTGAACAATGACTTTAGAATTAGTCTTGTTTATACTGTTAGGAAAATGAAGCAAGACGTTGGTAGTTGGGCAGTAGGTCCCTATTAACTAAGTTTTCTTAGGCTTCTCTTACACATTTTCATTATAAAACCAAAGTGTTATAAATGTAAAGGTAAAATTTTAGGTGTTAGATATGTAAATACATAAGAGTCGTATGGTACGTGTGTAAAACTCTCTACTTATTTTATTTCATAAACATTATGTAATGCACATCATCATCATCATCATCAGCATCAACATTGGTATTATCCCAATTGGATTTAATTTTAATAATATTTATTTTCTACTCATTTATGTTGACTAAAGCATTAAATCATTAGAGTAACTTCTATTTATTTATGTTATCTTTGATCAAATCTTACTCCTTTCTAATCCTTTGACTCTTTTAAATTTTATCCAATCATCCAAATTATGCATTTTGTATACCTAATTTTAATTATCTTATTCCAAAAAAAAAAAAAAAAATACCGCAACTTAGCGGTGATATCAATTAATAAATTCAATCGAGCATCTAAAACATAAATGCAGTAGCAGATAATATTAGAGAGAGTTGTCTTAGATGGTTTAGTCATATTAAATGTTGGTCATCTGATGATCCGATTAGGGGAGGAGATGTTTTAGAGTTGACTTGGGTTAAGAAATGTAGAGATAGATATAAAAATACTTGGGTATATTGTATTAAAAATGATCTTAATTTATTAGAATTAAATGAAAAAATGACACTCAAGAGGACATGATAGAGAAAATGATTCATGTAGTTGACCCCACTTAGTGAGATAAAGGCTTGTTGTTGTTATTGTTGCAAGCATCTAAAACACAAAATCAAAGATTTCAATTTCTTCCCATGGATAAATTTGGGTTTGAGTGGGAAGTTATTGATTTCAAGTCAGTTTTAGATTGATTCAAGCAAAGTCTGTTAATTGCAAGCCACATTAGTCTAATAGTTGAGAGCTTACTTTCAACAAAGAGGCTCTCGGTTCAAGGCCTAGTATATGCGGTGTGTGTGCGTTGAGGAGTAAGCGTGAAAATAAAATTATAATAAAAAAGGCTAAGTATATTAGTTTTTAAAAATACTTTTTATTACTAATCAAGATTATAAATACACATGCAATATCACAAGTAAATTTTAAGTTGAATCAAATTAATTTCAAGCAAGTCACCTTGAAATCCAAGAAAATTGATTTTTGAGTCGATGAAAGTTCAAATGAGTTTTGAGTTTTATATATAATATTATTAACCCTAACTCTAACCTTTCCTTCAAGCTTTTTGTTAACTTATTTGACTCTTTCTAGTTTTGTCTCATAAACATATTAGCAATCTCATTTGTGACAAGCTCGACTTACCTATCACTAATTCTTGTAATTAGCCAACACTCAAATCCATGCAACTTTATCGAATTAATTGCATCGTTATAAAAGTCAGCTTCAAGTATTTACAATATCCTCTTAATAGATAATATTCTTTAAGTTACTTTTCTATTTTAACCACCTAGTCCTAGTTTTAGAAAATAAGTACTCTTTATTGTATAGAATTTACTCATTATTATCCTCATTATTGTGTAGAATGGATAAAAAATACTTGTACTATCACACTTAGACATCATTCTACCTTCTAATAGTATTTATTGACAATTCTTAATATCACAACCACTAAAATTACAACTTTAATACTTAAATTTATTCTATATAATAGACTATTTTGTTAATAATTATCATTAACTATTCTAACCCTAATGATTCTCAAATTAGACATTCTTATAAAAGTGGTTTCATCTACTTGGTGAACATGATATAGCCTTTGCTAACTCAATTTAAGATATACATTGGTTGTCTACTCCCCTAAATTTCAAGATGATTTGCATCAATTTCTCGTAATTCAAGGAGTGTTTCCACCTTCAAGTTTGCTTGTTCATCCCCTAATTTTTTATTTCTCACAATTCTAGGAGTGCATTTGTTAAATGCTTTGCTATTTAAGAAATTTTAGATTTAAATCCATATTTTCTGGTTGTTTGTATGAAGGCTAAAAACACCCATGCACGAACGAACAATGTAAGTGTGACATGTTTGTATGCAAGTATCAAACCATTAGTAGGCATCGAGAAATTTAACTGAAATGATAAAATGGACTGATTGGAAGAAATGCCAAAATTGAGAGCTGAATTCGTGTACGAACTTTGTTTGTGGGTGCTGCCTGCTCTGTACCTGTTTTTAAATTGATTGATTGATACTGTGATGACTTTAAATTGATTTTATTTTGCTTGTAGCTATTAGTTCTACAACTGATACGTGTGATGTTTAATATTATACTAATATTTATGCATCTCTCAACTTCCACTACAACTTAACATAAAATTATCTAAAAATATTACATAGTTGACAAGAAGAACTTATTAAATATTGCAAAACAACAAGTACGATGACCCATGTTTTGTCAATGCTATGTTATACGCTCTTCAATGGAATCAACATCAGGCTGGTATATATTTGTGTGCATTGCGGTGCACTACAGGGTATATACAATTCCTACTATATTACAGTAATCATAAGTAAATGTCCAAGAAAGTATAATAATAGAAAAATTTTGATGATGTTCAATTTCTATTATATAACTGCATGAAACAATTCATCATTGCTTGGGGAGGCAACCGGTTCTTGGTTTGATGAATGTTCTTTCTCCTTTCTTATATTACAAAAGAGTTTAAGTTGGAGGAACTTAAAGATACATATAATAAAACTTATTCTGAATACAAGATTATATATTTTTGGCTCTTTTATTTTTCTCTCAATAAACTTTTAATTTAAAATTAGATATACACTTGAGTGCATCTTCGTTGGATCCTTTAATTTTATATTGTATTCTTTATTAACTATTTTTTTTATTCAATTTTTGCTTCGACTGGGATGTTTTCCCTCTTAATATGTCATCAGTAGAATATAATCTCAAGCACACCTCGATACAACCACAATACTACTCCAATAATACCATAAACTACTTCAATACCACCGAATAATAATACAATACCACCACAATCATCACAATACCATCACAATAACAACATAATAACAACATAAAACCACCACAAGATTAACAAAATAAAATCTCAATCCCACCTCAATATAACCATAAAACCACTCGAATAACACAACAAACAACTACAATACGACCGGAATAACAGGACAATGACACCATAATTCTATCAAAATAATATGACAATACCAACTCAAAATCACCACAATACAAAAAAAATCAACAATAACACTAAATACTATCAAAAAAATATCACCACTAGAATAACTATAAAATAACACTACAAAATCATAAAAAAATACTAGGAAATTAAAATAATACCATTGATTTAGAGTACAAAGAAAATCAAACAAACATAAATTAATGTCAATATTTGTAACAAAACGAAACTGACCTTCATTTCAAACTTATCGTCATTATTTACAGATTCTATCTTCAATATTTCTCACTTGACGTGTTGTTCACACATAACATGGGATTATAGTCTAAACCCTAACCGGAAAATGACAAGAAAACCTTTTGGCCACAAGCAAAACCAAATGAAACACTGTGCCAAATTTTAAACAATGCACTGTATTTTTCCTAATTTTCAAGTTGGTTTTGATCAAGTCGCACTAGAATACACCTTTTTCACTTTACAGGTGGAGAAATATAATTGGAGTCCGGACACATAACTGCGTACGGAATCTTGATTCAATATTTCCTCTTTCTATTAATTGGCACCCTGAGCCTTATAATAGAGCTTGCAAACCAAACAATTTTCAGCTGCAAATGGATGTTACACACAAAATTAATTTTCAAGGGTAGCATCACTTGTCACAAAGTTAGCATGGTTGCATAAGGATACAAGTACTAGAAAGACATTGACTATCACGAAACATTTTGTCCGGTCGCGAAGATGCCAAATATTTACATCTCCATCAAATAATTCGATGTCTTTAATGATTTTTCACGTGATAAACTTTACGAAACCGTATACATACATCAACCTTTAAGAATTATTGATCTCATGAGACCTTCCTATGCATGTCATCTTCACAAAATTTTATGTAGGCTCAAACAATCAAACAAGGCAACAGTTCGCTACACTCTCATTCCACCTTTATTGGGGATTTTAGCCTTCAGCGTATACCGATAACAATCACCTTGTCACGAATGACATTTGATACCATCCCACATTTTATAAAATCTTCATCATCAAGTCAATTCGTGTGGCCTGAGACAGTTATCTTACTTTCTTGGCATTCAAACCAGGACTTTCATTGCGCTCTCTTCACTTGAACCATTCTAACTATTTATTTATTCAAGTGAAGATCGCTCCACATATGCATTGAATCTTATGCTGAGCTTGAACGAATGGTCATAAACCTTCTCAAAACCCTGCTACTTCCAAATCCTCATAGGCTTGAACGAATCCAGGATAGATTTTATCATCTTTCTCCACTCCCCTCTATTGTGCCAATATGATGACCACTGCTCTTGCGCATAACATGATGATTCATGCTTATACCAAGCACATCGATACTAATTGTAATTTCATTATATTGCCCACTCACAAACAACTTTCTGATATCATCAACAAGCAGTTGGCACTTGATGTTTCAATACCTCTGCAACAAACTAATAACTCCAAAACATCGTCTCTATTTGAGGAAAAAATATTACCTCTGGAGTACTGATGCATCAAAACTCTAATGGAGATGTGCCATGTGGCGTTATAGTGGGACTATTGCATATGTGGTACCTCCTCATTGGAATACTGATGCATCAGTACTCCTAAGGTAATATTTCTTCCTATTTGAGGGCGCAGATAACCAACTATATTATCGGAACTATATTATTTTCATAGAAACTTTAATTTCAAAACCCAAATATATTAAGAAATATGCAGATTTACCCGAAATAAATGACCAATTAAAGCCCAACTAGAGTGGGACATTATCCCCCCTGACACAACACATGATCCGACAAAAACACAAATGCGAAGCAAGTAGAACTGCCGCTACACGCCTAAAACCGAACTAAAAAACTCGAGTTGATATATATATATGGTAAAACTCGGTTAATATATATAATAATCTAAAATGTTTCGAGGCTCCCTTTACTGCTGAGCGCACTGCACTCTCTGAGCGCCCCCATGCATTTCCTCATCTTCCTCATAGGCTTCCTGCGCCTGTTGAGCTTGCTTCCTCATCATCTCCTCCTCCATGTTTACATCGTGCAGTGTTGTCTCCTCGCACTCGTCAAGCTCCATGTCCGTCAGCTGCGACTGCATCCTCAACGGCAGCACAGACTCAACGGCCTTGCACTGCTCTGCACTCAACGAATCCGGGAATTCTACAGTGAAGTGAATGAACAATTTGCCTCTCATGAAAGGCCTCTGATACATCGGCATGCCCTCATCGTTGATCGCTTTGAATTGATCTGCAGAAACCGGCAACGATGATACATGTAGAGCCATATACATACATGTAAACCGAATGCATTCGAATCTTACCTGGCTTGACAACTTCGCCGGGGTTTGATTTAATGAGCAGCTGTCTGCCGTCAAGATGTGTTAGTGCGAACTGGAAGCCGCATAGGGCTTCGGTTAGCGGCAGAGTGTGCTCGAAGAAGAGATCATCGCCCTTTCTTTTGAACTTGGGGTGGTCCTTTTGTTGCAGGATGAATACAATGTCTCCGGTGATGTAGTCGGGCTACACATCAACAGAAGGAATAATGAAAAAACTGCAATAAGGAGTGGATGAGGGTTTGGTGGGGAAGGCAGAACACGTACAGCTTCGTCGGCCTCTCCGGGAAAGGTGATCTTTTGCTTATTTTGCATGCCCTTCTCAACGACGACTTCGAGAACCCTCTTATCATGCACAACCTTCTCACCCCTGCATTGAGGGCAGCGGTCTTTGTCGCTGATGGTCTCACCGGTGCCTTTGCACTCGTTGCATGGGTGCTGCATTTGTTGGATCATGGATGGACCAAGATGGCGAATCGAAACCTTCATGCCCGAGCCCTGACAGCCCGGACATTTCATCGATGCGCCGGATTTAGATCCCTTTCTGCAGAAGTATGTTTGTTTGATGTTAGTTTTATGCCGCAAACCATTCGGAGTGAAGAATTTATCAATACTCAGTACTCACCCTTTGCATTTCGAGCACAGTACGTTTCGTGAAAGAGAGAGCTTTTTGGAAGTACCATTGTACAGTTCTTCCAGGGAGACTTTCAGTGGTTGAACAACGTCCTCCCCTCTCCTCTGCCTGCGTCCACGGCTGCCCCCACCGGCTACTCTCCATAACAAATTCCTTAGAATGAGTGTGGGGAGACAAAAAAGAAAGGGTAAAAATGGCAAAATAAATCATTTAAATTTACCTCCAAAAGGGTTTCCACCAAAGAAAGATTGGAAAATATCAAAAGGATCATGGGCTGCACCGCCCATTCCTTCCTTGAGAGCATCTTCACCGTACTGATCATAAATCTCCCTCTTCTCAGGATCACTCAAGACCTCATAAGCTTGGGCCAACTCTTTAAACTGCAAAGGACAAGAATAAATCAATTGAGATACGGGTGAAAGGAACCAGCTCAGTTGTACTGTTTCTCAAAAACAAGAATAGATTGAATAAATAGAAAACTTGGACTACCTCAATACAATTCCAAGTTGCAGTTGCAAATAGCAAGGAATTAAGCCATGCAAAATCAAACCTCATTTCACAAAAGATTAATTAACCAAAGTTAATTTCCAACTGAGCAGCTGTCAGTTTAAAAAGAAAGACACGTTCACAGAGGTACATCGAATGATTATCCTCAAGACTTGATTATACTTTCAAGAATCACAATTAAGTTTATTAAAATTCCAAATTAATCATCATAGGTTGCTATGACAAAGGGGCCAAAAAGAGAAGCAAAAGCGCAAATGATCAAAATAACAAATTGTCACAAAAAAAAAAGCATAATATTGATAAAGAAACAAAATACATATATACAAAATGTACTTTATTTTGGTTTCAATCTGTGAAACTCCTTGAACTGAACGAAGTTAAACGTGCTCATATGAGAGCAACACTGTAAGAGGTTATTTCCTAGAAAGTTATACCAAGAGGCCAAAACTGTGAGGTTGTTCGGTTAACATGGACAAAATCATGATGGTTCAAAGCTCTTACAAAATCTATTAGCAATAAAGCAAATCCACAAGAAATATAGAATGGAAAAACACATATAGCCCTTCATAACTTAAAACAACAACAACAACAACAATAACAACAACAACAAAGCCTTAATCCCACTACGTGTGGTCGTTAATCCCACTACGTGTAAAGCCTTAATCCCACTACGTGTGGTCGGCTACATGAATCCATTTTCTCCATTGCGTCCTATTTAGTATAATGTTTTCATTTAGTTCTAATAAATTAAGATCATTTTTTATACAATAAGCCCAACTTTTCCTAGTTCTACCTCTGCCTTTCTTAACATAAGTCGATCTAAAACATCTACTCTCTTAATCGGATCATCAAATGGTCGACGTTTAATGTGATCAAACCATCTAAGACGAACCTCTCTAATTTTGTCCGTCACTGGAGCTACACCATCCCTATCACAAATATATTCATTTTGCATTTTGTCTCTATGTAAAACCACTCATCCATACTCATCCATCTAATCATTCTCATCTTGGCAACACTTAACTTAGTATTATGCTTCTCTTTTAAAGGCCAACATTCAGCGCCATAGAGCATTGCAAGTCTCACCACTAACTTATAAAATTTTCCTTTGAGTATAAGCGGTACTTTTCTATCACACAAAAGGCCCGATGCATTCCTCCACTCAAACCAACCAACTTGAATTCTACTATTAACATCCGCATCTATATCATCATCGCTTTGAATAACGAAATCGAGATATCTAAATCGTTCACACCTTTTAATAATTTGTTTAATACTTTTAATAATTTGGTCACCCAAAGTTACACTTCTGTCACTAGAACTACTACTAGTAAAATTACATTCTATGATTCAGTTTTAGTTCTACTCAAATGAAGGCTATTAGACTCCAATGTAGACCTCCATAATTCAAGTTTTTCCTGAGCTTTTTCTCTCGTCTTATCCAAGAGAAAGATATCATCAGCAAAAAGCATACACCAAGGTACATCCTCCTGTAAATGTCCAATAAGACCATCCATAACTAAAGCAACGGGCTTAAAGCCGATCCCTGATATAATCCAACAAAAATGGGAAATTATTTGGAATGGAGGGGTGCAACAGGAATACTTCCCAACAGGTCACCCATTTTAATATTACTCTAGCCCCAGCACGCTTAACTGCGGAGTTCTAATGGGATCTATTGCGCTGATGCTGGTATGGTCACACCCAAAAACCCAAACAAAGAAAAAAAAAATTACAATAATCTCACATAAAATATAAAAGACACCTCACTTGAAACCTTCGTTGTATGTCAATGGCCACTAGAACCAAAAACCCTAACTCAAATCAAGTGCAAAGAATGAGACAAATCTCCCCATTCTCTTCATTTCGATGGCCAAATTCTTCCCCCTTCCACTTAGCCTCCTTCTTCGTGACCGAGAATAATAAGGAAAGCAATAGCAAGGTTGCGGCCTACAGAGACGCATGTTGCCTTCCTCGTCTTTCTCCCTGTTCATTCGCAAGCCAGCCTCACCGAAGCCCTCTCCTTGCTCACGTGATAAAGTTGTGGCTAGGGCTACCAGGAAATCAACGGCTAGATCACGACATACGAAGCTAATCGAAACTCCCGTTTGTCTCTCCTTTTGCCCTTAGGAAGGCGACGACGAGCTCACAATACAGTGACCCAAAGCCCCCATCTTTCTTCCTTTTCCACTTCTTCTTTCTACAACTCTAAGATTTGCAAACAGAAAACTACAATTGCTTCCTAAACATTTGTTATCCTCTACACCATACGAAACCCTCTAAGTCGTGACCTTCTCGCTATCCTAATGCACAAGACATAGTCGAGATTAGCACTAATTGAGAAGGCAACAATGGGATCGTAGTATTACAGAGACCTAAAACCCCTCCATTTTGTGCTGATGCCCTCACCGATCTTTCTTCTTCCCAACCACCCAAAGTTTATTTCGTGTCTCCCAAGCCCATCTTCTCTCGCAGCACCTACGCAACGTACACACTTTGTGCAAAGCCGATCCTCCCTGTTCGTCCAGCCCTGCACCGAAACTCTCCAAGCCACAATCTCTCTCTGTCGTGCCTTCCTTGGGAACCAAAGTCTCTTTTTCATTCCTCAACCCTAGAGCACTTGCTCCTATCTCTGCGTGCTAAATTGAGCCTGATCCTTTCTACCTAAAGATCATTGTCGAACCGAGCTTGTCCGATTTATTCAAGCACAACCCCATAATTATGCCCTACCCGAGCACTTACCCAGAACCAGAACAATGACCTAACACCTCTGTTTATTTACTTATTTCTACTGCTTGTATTTTACTTTATGTTGTATGTTTTCAAAAAAAAAAAAGAGAAAGAAAAAAATCTGTGATGTATTATTATTTTTATTATGTTGTAGTCGTCGCCATAATGACGTGGAGGCTCGAAAAGTATATTTTGGGGCAAAGCAGGAAAATTTTAAAATATCCACTCAAGGAAGCGCAAGTACCCGTTCATGGGGAAATTAAATGTTGGAAAACACGCGAACTCGCTTGAAAAACATTTTAAAATTGAAGATTTTAAAACACCCGCTCGTAGAAAAGTGAGTACCCGCACGTGAGAAATTGATTATCGTTTGGGAAAAATAAAGTACCACTCAGAAAATTCTAGTTTGCGAGCTAACACTTTTGTGTAAGTACGTTAAAGACTCGTTGTGTCTTTTAAGATTGCGGGTTAAATTTATATTTTTTACTCCCTAGCCACAGTATCTCGCGACAATAACCAGCTCGTCTTTTAAGATATATGAGAAGGTTGACATCCTCCGATCCCCCCCCCCCCCCCCCCCCCCCCCCCCCCCCCCCC